TGTGCCGTCTCCTTTGAATTGTTAACCTTTCCACCTCCCTCAACCAATGAACTAAAATTTTTAAAAATCTTCCTATGTGCTTATCTATATTTATGAGTCCTTAAAAAGAAACGTCCTTTGCAGAATGCATAAAGACCATTGCCTTTGGATATGAAACCAGGAACTTGGGCCTTTCCTGGTACTGTTTCCCACAGGAAATTCTCCTAGACTCCACTCAGTCCATGAAACACAAAGCCCATTACCTGTTGATTCCTATGGCCCTAGAAAGGGGTCGATGCTTCCTCATACACCTTCAGGGACCAGGGACAGGGTGCTAGGTCCCTGAGAGAGGCCAGTCCAATGCTTCCATATGGCCCACAGCTGTGCTGATTTTATGCCACAAAAAGAAATCTAAAAGGAGATAACATCACAATGATTCACCTTGCTGAGAGGTGATGACTGTTTAGGCCTAAGGGGGAAATGGAGAAACTTATTACCCAGACATCTTTACCAGGTGACCAGAGTGGCTGGTCAAGAAGGGGGAGGAGGAAGAGGATGCAGGCCAGCAATGAAGCTGACCTGGAGTCACAAGGGAGAAGAATGCACATTCCCATTGCTTCTCGGAAAACAGAAGCACAACTGGTACATCTGACCTAACTTACTGACTCCCAAGTTTTTCCCTACATTTTCATACTAGATCTTCTTGGTACCCAGGAAAGCACACAGAAGCCATCCATGCGCTGGTTTCACAGTGAGCCTGGTTATTCATGGAAGGTGGGAAGGGCAGGCTACAACCATGATGACCCAGTTTTCAGAACACACTTGCACCAGGCTCACCACAAACAACTACACCAACATTCCAGCTCTTTCTTCTACTCTGAGCTCCTCTAGGCTTCTTATTCATCCTTGGCCTTAACCACCCCCTACCCCCCACCAAGGTAGGGTTTTGAGAATTCAAAAGCAACTTCTTTACTTGTCTAGGCTTCTGTCAGGATCCATATTCCAGCAAGAATGGGTGTCCCCCCATCCCCACCTCTTACTGCACAGAGAGTAAACAGATCTTGAGCGCCAAAGTACTGGTGAGGTTCCCAGCAAACCTCAAAGACTCATTCCTAAAGCAAGAGAGATATGATTGCTTCATTTCTGCTTCCCTCAGAACTCTGTAACATTCATCATGGGTAGCCTGGCTGGTGGGGATGTAGCTTCAGATAAACATCTCCATGTTAAATGTTCAACACATCACCACAAGGGAAAGGGCTACCATTCCCATTAAAAAGAAATGTGGCAGGTGGGAGCACTCATCCACACACCAGCAGTAAGCAATGACCTGGCCTGATACAACCAGCCTCCACAAGCCACTAACATGTTCCCACCTTCCTGGAAAATTCCCTTTAGGAGAATAAACAAACTAACACACAAATATCAAAATCTTCTTAAGTGATCTGAATAACAAGCACTGCAGTTTTTGTTCCATCCCTTTGTGTATGACTCATGTATATCTAGGTACAAAGTGGACACATTCTTGTGTGTGACTGGGCATGTGGGCATGACACATCGCATATGTGAAAGTCAGAGGACACCTCTGGTGTTGGTCCTCCCCTTCCATCTTGAGAGAGGGTCTCTTTGTTGCTCTTCTACTGAACAGGCCAGACTAGCTGACTCCCAAGCTTTCTGGGATTTTCCTGTCTAACATCTTGCCTGTCTTGGTAGGGACAGTTGGATTCCAGACATTAATGCAAATGCAGGTCCTCAACACTTACCAAAAAGCCCCTTTGCTCATGGCATCATTTCCCCAACCCATACTGCAGGGCTGTGTGTATGTGTGTTTTAATTTGTTCATTTTCAAATAAACACCGTAAGAGCAAAACGCACAGGAGGATAAGGGGAAGTTAGCAGCATTCCCAGCATCCTACAGGGTTATTTCCTAACATGTGCGTGAAGCAGAAGGAGCAGTCATGGGGGGAGGATGACCTTCACTCCTTGACTTCACAACCATGAGGACCCATCCCGCAGGCTAGAGGCAGTCTCAAGTGGGAAGGTCCCCACCAGCCCCCACCTGTCTCTGATGATGAAGACACTGTGGCAGACAGTGAAAAGGAAACCAGATCCTGCTGACCTCACGGACCCACTTGGATCATACCAACCCTGAAACTCACGCTGCCTCTGGACTTTCCAGTTTCAGGAGCCAAAACCCTCCACGCATTGTTCAGGTTGGGTTAATAGGGTTTTCTGTTACCTGGGACTGCAAACATAATCCCCTGGAGAGCAGCATCCACTTAAGTCTGTGGCTTGACCAAGTGAGTGTACCTGATCAATACATTACATAAAAAGACTCCCATTTGGATGAAGATCCAAAGACACTTTCTGGAAGGATCCTTAACAGTAGTTGTCTTTGGGTAATAGAAAACATACTTTTCACTTTGCACCATTTAGATAGCTTCTACTTATGTTAAAAAGGATGAAACTTAAAAGTTTGAGGTGACAAAAAAGATGGGCCAAGGTGATAATTTAGTTTGGTAGTCATTAAGCTATGTGTTTGAAGCCCCTGCTGAGACATGAAGTACAGAATACAGAAGAAAGCCAAGGGAAGAAATAACTCTCTGAGCTCTGCAGGGAGTGGCTGTGTCCTCTCACTCCGAAACAAGCATCCCCACAGCCATCCCTTGACAAAGCTCCTAAAGCCTGACCAGGATTTTGCCGTTTTTTTTTTTTTTAAAAAAAGATTTATTTATTATGTATGTATAGGTAATTTGCTTGCCTCTGTATATGTCCACAGATACCAGAAGAGGGTGCTGGGGTCACAAGTGGTTGTGAGCCACCATGTACGTGCTGGGAGCCAAACCTGGGTCCTCTGGAAGAGCAACAAAGGCTCTTAATTCCTAAGCCATTTCTCTTGCCCTTAGTCCTAGTTTTGTAATGCTCATTTGACATTTTCCAGAGGCTCCCTGGAGACACCAAAAGCAACGGCCAAAGGGAGATCCCTTTTATGTACCTTTGAGGAAGAAGGATACCTCTATACACTACGTAAATAAGCTAAGCTCAAAAGGCTTGCCCCTCCCCCAACACCACCCTGGGTACGTTCAACACAAGCACCTAAGATCCAAATGATGGGGCATGGGGTATTCCAAAGTTCTAGGCTAACAAAGTGGTACCCATGGTTCTCCAGGACACAGAGAAAAGGAATACTGGAACAAAGGCCCAGCATATACTTTTCCCGGCACTTGTCAAGAGCTAAGGAACTTCAAACAATTCTCACACGTCTGAAGCTATGAGCTAGGAAGCAATCAAGTGGTCCCCCATGTAGAGACTGAGGCTTCCTCCCTCTGGAGAGGAGTCCTCTAACAGTAGCAGCCCACATCTTGCCTTAGAGGCCTCCAAATGTCTCTTAAGGAAGTGTCCAATCCTGCACTGTTCAGCATAGAAAGCCCATCCAAAAGTTCACATGTGACTGACAACTCTGGCCTTTCCCAACAATTGTGCTTCAAGAAAACAAGTACTTTACACAGATCAGAGAGCAGTTTGTTGACTGAACACAGTACTACCTGAACCTGGGTCTTAGAAAAATGAACCCACTGCTCATTGCCAAAGCTGCTATTCAGGGTAGTGCCCCTACTCATTGTGGGTAACTTTCCCATCAAGTACCCAATCCAGGTAGAGAAGGGAGTCTACAATCCACCTTTTCCAAATGGCTGCCGACCTGATACAGCCCCAGGAGCTTCTTAGAATAAATGCCCTCAGGGATTGAGGCTATACCTGGGCTAGTTAATAGGCAGAAGCTACACTAAGATGCAAGGGTGACAGGGAGGTATCTTTCTCTGAGACTTACGTTTTGGTCATGAATATGGCTTCCTTGGAACTGCTCTGTGAACCAAATGAGTTTATAAACTTATGTGCCCTGAGCACTTCCACCATTCCTGGAAGATTTTGTGTTTAACAATTTGGCATATTAGTTAGGTATGGACACTGCCTGACTTCTTGGGGAGCAATGTACATAGTTTTTCTGCCTGGCTCAGGGCTCTACTCTCAGCAGCCTTGCAGACCTGCTGAGCAGGGCAGGGACAACCAAGGCATGAGGACACACAGGAGTTAGAAGCAGTGTGCCTATACCTCAGAAGCAGGGATAATGAGGAGGGTAGTCCAATGTTAGGTGCCATCATGGTGGATGGTTTAACAACTGGCCATGTGGAGAATGGAGGGTGGGAGAGAGGAAGACCCAGTGACCCAAGTCAGAAACTGTCTGGGAAAAGGCTGGCAAAGTCCTAAGCAGAGTTAGACAGGACAAGAGAAGGACAAGAGCCTCAGAGCCTCAAGTGGGAGAACAGGATGTGCAGGGGTCACACGCTAGCTTCTCAGCCGAAGAGGACGGAGAGGATGGGCACTCAGGATAGGCCAGAAAATGTTTCAGACACCGTTCCCCTGATCTTCCCACTTCTGTTCATTTAGCCAGAGAGTGGCCTCGTTTTAAAAATTAACTGAGAAACAAACACAACCCTGGAAGCCATGAATAAACTTCATCCTAGACAGAGATGTGGGACACAGGGCAAGACTCCAAATGGGCCAGTCTGCAAGTTCACATGAACAGTTAAGAGCTGCCCAAAGTCCTAGGTGTCAATATGCCAGCATGGAGTGTCTACAATCACCATGGCCTCCAGCAGGACCTATCATCATCCACCCCCACCCCACCTACTGCAGATCACCAGCCAGTCCAGGACACACAGCTCGTGTATGCAACAGTGTCCTGTCTGGAACCATGGATTTTTACCTAGATGGGCAGTATTGCCAGGGCTAGACCAAACTTAACTGAGAATAATCCTTCCTTGAGTCCTGGAGAGGAAAGTTACCCAGCTAATGCTTATAGCCAAGAATGACAAAGCTGTAAGCCACCTAGTTTCAACTTTGGGGAGAATGTGAAGGATACATGGAATCTGTCAGGATGTGCAGATGATGGCTTGCCTTAACCACAGGGCCTCTGTACCACCCAGTCACACCTGACTCAGTGGCTCAATTTATCACCAAAATGCTTAATGCTTTTTTTTTTTAATAGTGATTCCAAACCAGAAAGGAAAAAAATAAGACCCAAACAACAGCATTAATATAAAGATATATTCCATAAAAGAGTTTGGCAGGTCAAAGAGAAGCTTCACACTTCCTAAAAACACAAGCATTCTTCTTCCTCTAGTCTATAGAGAATTATTTAAAAAATTATAACATCATCATCATCATCATCATGAACACACACCCACCAGTATCACCAGTATACACCACACGAGAATGTACACTTCGGTAAGTAACTGAAGGTAGCACTCAATCCCTGAACGGTAAGGACAGATACAAGCTATAAAGAAGCATTAGAGAGTAGCTCAGCCCAAGGTGGACAGACACTCAGCACGCCTCAGAGTATCCAGTACGTAACATAGACATCATTTTCAAGAGCAGCCTCAGAACAGTGCTGACAGTGAACACGGCATGTGGGTGGGGGAGGGGGGGGTCACCATGGAAGTTAGAGATAAGACGCGCTGAGCTTCCTCACAGCACCTGCTGTCTGTGCTTGCCAGGGCCTGGCTGCAGGAGTGTTGCCCTCCAGGGACAGCACACTTTGGGCCACTAGCTGTATGTGGTCATGAGAGGAACCCAGTTTCCAGCTGGTGATCAGGAACTGGGGCTCCCTACAGGGCACTAGGGAGGAAGAAAGGGTCAATCAGGATTCAAGTTCTGGTGGCCATTTCAGTAGCACCGAGACCAGAAGACAGTGAAGCCAAGCAGGGGTGCATGGAGGGAATGTGAACCAGAGGGAGAAGCTGTCACAGCTGGTTCTTGAGACATTTGGGGAACTGAAAAGGACAGCTTGGTCCCAGACACTGGGTAAGGCTGCTGAGAAAAGAATGCCAGACAGAAGAGGCTATAAAGACATGGTGAAGGAACACTCTTACCCCTATAAATAAACTATTTACACACTATAGGAACAGGAGAGCTGGCCCTCAGCAGGGCTTAATGCTATGGAGAAACAAGGCTGTTCTACCCTGGGAGAGCAGTATAGGCTTGGAAGGCAGTGGTGATGTGCTCCCCATGACCGCTTATGGCTGGCTCAGGCATACTTCACTTGGACATGGCTGAGGTTTCTGCAAACCCTGGCATGTTTGCACCACCATGAACCCTGTTGGCATGAGGGGGGAACCACTGGACCACTTATCCCTCCCATCCTTCTTGATCCAATGGAGCCAGAAGCCTTGTCCTCAATGCTGGTCCCATACTGATGTTATACCCACAGAAGATAATAGCTGAGCATGTACCTAAGCCTTACTGAGTAGGTAGGGGCCTGAAGATGCTCTTGGGCTCCATAAAGGTCATCAAGCCTTTCCTGCAGCCGTGGAAGCCATCTGTCCTCAGAGTTACTACTCCACATAAAAACACATTCTCTGTCTCTGGGCAAATCCCTTCAGAGATGCCATGTCAAGTGTGGGCAGATGAGAGGGGGCCTTGATCTGCAGCACCAGCAAGAAGAAACTGAGAGGTCATATCACGCTGATGCCAAAGACAGGGGTCTGGTTGTGGGTGGCTAACATCGACGTCTGCTGCTGCTGGACAGTGAAAGGCTTGACCCTTCCGTGTGGCTCAGCTCCACTTGCTGCATCTGCTTCTCAGAAGTGATGACCTGCCTTCACTGCCTCGATGTCTGAGATCAGGGTTCTCGCCAGGAAGATGCCAAAGATCTGAAACCAGAGGCAGGGAGCGGAGGTGAGCTGGTGGAGAATGTCAACATGGACTCCCTCCCTTACCCTACCAAGTCAAGGGCAAGGTGTGAGCAAAGCCCGAGCAAGTGGCAAAGATGACCCACCCCATGGAAAATGAACCCTGGGGTAGGCTGTTGCATCCCTCAAGCATGGAAGAGGTCAGAATAGACATCACAGACTGAAACAGATGCTCAGCCTGCTCCCAGTGAGTAAAAATGCCACATACCAGGCGGGACCCACATACATGAGCTCTAGGTCAAACTAAAATAACACCAACTACTCAGAACCAGTCACCCTGTTGGCCCAATTCCCAAGAGAGTAATTCACAGCCATGACCATGACTGATATCTGCAGACATATCCTGACTTTAGCAGACAGGAATGCCATGAGGGAAGGGTGTGGTTTTTCTATCTACAGAGACAACCATAAACTTGGTAACCTTTGGAAGTGTTTGTTTGTCATCCCCACACCCCTTAAGTTCTGTTTTATAACTGGACCCAGTCTCACTTCACAAAGACAAAAAAGTCCCAGTACACATCCCACGCTTACTACCTCATGCACACACACAAATACACAATTTCCACAAGCTTTTCTCTTATGTTCTGTAGTCATTCAATATAATGACAGAGTGAATATAGAAATATGGCTGCAATCAGGCCCACCTCCTCAAGGCAGAGCTGCCTAACATGTATCTTCCTTGTATACACAGCCTTCTCTGTCCCCTAAGTTGCTCAAAGGCAGGCAGTGCCTCTTACACATGGGCTCTAAGAAAACAGTTTTCCTGACAGAACTGGATTCTTGACTTTTTCTAGATTTTCCTGTGGAATCCAGCCACTCCAATACCCCCTGGGCCGGGCAGTGAGCCAGGGGAGAGTCAGTGGTGAGGGAAGATTCCGGGAAGCTCAGCCAGGGGACAGGGCCAAGGAAGTTCTGGGGTAACTGCGCCAGCTAATGGGAAGAGTCACTTCCCACTGTAGAGCTCCCGACACCTCCATAATTTCTGCTACTTCCGGCTACCAAAAGGGAAGGACCTCAAAGTAGGCCAACTCCTGGTCATGTACTCCAATCTCCTGACCACTACACAGCCAATATCATATTAAGATGTGGGCCCTAAAGAGAGGGTCATATCTGTCCCATTTGTCTGCCCTAAAAGGGTCTCCCTTCAGGTAGCAGGCTGTGGAGACAGAGGAGCCATGACCTATCCTAGGCACAGCCTCCTAGAATACACATGAACAGGCGCTACCACACTGTGTGTGTGTAAGTGTGTATGTATATGCGTGTGTCTATCCAGTACACATCCCACTCTTACTACCTCATGTATATGTATACACACATACACACACACACACACACGTGTATATGTACCTAACCTTGGACATCCTATTTTCTAGGCCAGATTCCTTTACAGAATACCATGTGTTAAGGGCCCAGGGCTTGAACTCTGGGACATACCTGCAACAGTGAGATGGCAATGAAGACGCCAGCCACAATGTATATGTTCCTGGGCAGCCAGCCTTCCAGAGCCTGGATGCATCCTTTTGTAAAGATGAACTCATCCCACTTGCTCTTCAGCTGCAGAGAAACAGCACAGTGGCCTCAGCCTGAGCACATGCAATCCCTGCCCTGCCCATGGATGCTGGTCTGAGAAAGCTGAATGAGGACCACAGGAGAAACCCTGCTTGAGAACACTCCAAATTCAGATTCGGTCTGGGCCCCTCCCAGGGCAAGCAGCCATCTTGCCTATCTAACTAAAGGCTCTCAGTGCCAAAGACGAATTCATTCTGCATCTCCACACCTGGATATACGAGGTAATCTGCAGCCTAGAGGAAAAAATATGTCTCTCAAGGTTCAGAGGAAAGGGCATTCCACACTTTCTAAGTTACAGAAGGTGGCAGAAGAAAGGGCAGTGGCTCTTTAGGTTCTGTCTCCTACTGGTAAGCTTGGTTCTGGGAGACAGAGTCAGGCAGCTCCCTCTCTTCCAATCCCCATGGGAAAGCTGTTAGTGTGTGGGGACACTGTCCCAGTACACACTCCACTCTTACTACCTCATAAGTGGCAATCAGCCCAAGTTTCTTCCCCATCATCTCCCTCCATGTGACAGGGATGAAATATCAATTCACATTAGGGATATTATGGGATGTACTGTGCCATCATGTTCCCGCACTGAAATTCTAAACCTCTGAACCTCAGGTTGTGACTGTATTTGAAGACAGGTCTTTACAGAGCTGACTAGGTTTAAATGAGGCTACCAGGATGAGGTCTGATCGACTGGCTCCCGTCCATACAAGAAGAGACTAGGACAGGGCTACACACAGAAGGAAGTCATGTGAGGAGGGAGACGCCCCAGCCTGGAAGACAGGCCTGGAACAGCTCCTTCTACGCAGCCTCAGAAGGACTCAACTCAGCTGATGGCTTCATCTTGAACTTTTAAGTTTCAGAACTGTGAGAAAGAAGTGTCATGTAAGCCTGCCAGTCTATATTTTGTTATGGCTGCCCCAAGGGGCAATGAAACTCTACCAGGAGGACAGCTAGGTTTCATACAAATGCATCTCTCTGGTTGTTTGGGATGCTACAACAAAGTACCATAGTGGCCTAAAACAACAGGAATTTCTTTCTCATCACTATGGAGGCTTAAGCCTAACACCAAGGCACTGGCAGACTCAGTGTCTCCTGCTGCATTCTGGTTAGACAGTGTTTTCCTGCTGAATTCTCATATGCTAGAAGAGGAAGAAAGCTCTTAGGGTCTTTTTCTTTATTTCTTTCTTTTATGTGTTTAAGCACTTTGCCTACATGCATGTTTATGCGCACCCTTCATATGCAGTGCCCACAGCGACCAGAAGGTGGCATCTGTCCTCTGGAACTGGAGTTCCTAACAGCTGTGAGGCCCTGCATATGTGCTGGGAACCAAACCTGGGTCCTAAGAGCAACAAGTGCTCTTTACTTCTGAGCCATCTCTCTAGGCCATCTTGGGCGTTTTAATAAGGGCAGTAATCTCAGTCATGACAGCTCTGTCTTCACTGGGAACTGACTACATTTCAGCTTATGAGAGATAAAACATCCAACACACACGACCTGTTTCTATGAACTAAAGTCAATGGAAGATAAACTGTCCTAGAGTCCATGGCTAAGGGGATGTCTACATTCCCTGACATCCTTTCCCATCACCTTCTCCCACCCAAGCCCTCACTCACTAGTGCCTGTGCATGAGTGTCTGTGAGTGCCTGTGTGAGTGCACGTGTGCGAGTGCATGTGAGTGCCTGTGTGTGACCTCATGTGTGTGAGTGCAAGTGTATGTGTGTGAGTGCCTGTGAGTGCCTGTGAGTGCATGTGAGTGCATGTGAGTGAGTGTCTGTGTGTGAGTGCACGTGTGCGAGTGCATGTGTGGATGCATGTGCACACATGCACAGTAGTTCACCCAGACTCAGCTCACTTCTGGTTTATGGCACCTTCTAATGGAATCTTCCTGTCTCTTAACTCCAATCTGCACTGTGCTAAAGCAGGAGGTTAGACTACAAGACTAAAGCCTAAGAAACAGTTCCCCAGATCCTTTAAGGCTGTGTGTTGATATACTTACCTGAATCCTGACATCATAGCCACACTGTGTGTTCACGACTTTTTGCTGTAGGAAAAGCAGAAAACTTAGTTACTCTAAAGACTCGTCAAAAACCCAGTGGTAGGAAGCTCTAGAAAAATCACAACCGAGCACTGGAAACACGTCACAGCTCACATCCTGAGTTTAACTGCCAGCTCCCCTTCCAGGCTACCACAGGGCTCAGTGAGCCACATCTGTGGGGTTTCAGCAGTAAATTTTGTAGCTGCAGGCTGCAGAACCAGGACTCATTCTACTTCACCAACAAGAGCACGACATGGACAGCACATAAGCGAGACATGGACAACCATAACCTATCAGGCTTGGCTATACTGCCAGAAAACGAAGGGCACTAGAGTCTGAATTTCATACCAGTCTGACACATCACAAAATATTATACTTTTTTTCTTTCAGCCATGTTTGAGGTTAAATGCAGAATATCCCCCATGGCTTAGTCCTATGGTGCTGCTCTTGGCAGACAGTGTGGAATATTTAGGACAGGGAGCCTAGGAAGAAGCTGTTAGGTCACTAAGGATGTGTCCTGGAAGGAAACAGTGGCATTCGGTCTCGTTCTTTAGCCATATAGCAGGCAGCTTCCATGCCATTTGCTCCTTGCTGTCTCCAGCAGGTACCAAAGATCTGAAAGCATCCAACACTGTGAGACCGCTAACTCTTCTTAAATTCTAGGGATTAGTGTTAGGACTCTTTGCATATTAAGTGTGTACTCTACCACTGAGCCCACAAGCCTTTCCTCAGGAGGTTTGTTATAGTGATGCAAAACTGGACAATAACCACCAAAAAGTAACTAAAAGTATTTTGCCTCACTTGGCCTTGGGCCACAGTTTGTCAACCTTTGTGCCAGTAGATGACATTTCACTCAGTATATTCACTACACTGGTGTTCTTTTTTTTGTTTTGTTTTTGTTTTTGTTTTTGTTTTTTTCGAGACAGGGTTTCTCTGTGTAGCCCTGGCTGTCCTGGAACTCACTCTGTAGACCAGGCTGGCCTCAAACTCAGAAATCCGCCTGCCTCCGCCTACCAAGTGCTGGGATTAAAGGCGTGCGCCACCACTGCCCGGCATACACTGGTGTTTTTCAAATATTCCTGGACACCTCCAACTCCACTGCACAACCTCAGCAAACAGGCCTCTCCCAGACCAAGGATCCTGCCCTGGTCCTAACAGTGAAGGCTTGCTTCTCAGGGGCTGTGACTAGGGGCCACAGGGCTGTGCATAAGCTTGTGCAGGATAGATCTCTGCTCAGGAAAAGCAGTCTTTCTTCCCAGGTTACTCAAAGTGCTAATTTCCAGAAGCCCAAGGATTTAGGCCTAAGACTAGGAATGAAAGCAAGTGAAGAAAAGGCTAGAAAATGATTAACCATGGTGTTGCTCTCCTCTCCCCCCCACCCCACCCCCACACACATGTGATGAGAAACCTCACAATTCCTGAGAGCTTCTGAGCACTGAGGACACTCTGCAGAGCAGGTATAAAAGTGGACAGGCCCAGAGCACAGCACCTTCATGAGAAGGCAGATCCTCCTGAGGAAGGATTATCTTTCCTCCTCTGTCTAGCACAGAGACATGGTGCACCATAGAGAAGCGGTCCAGACTGTATGCACAGGATGTCAGAGGTGCAAGGTCCCAGGGTGGGTGGAGGGAGCCACAGGAGTGATTGCACCACACAGCATCAGCCTGTGTGTTGGAAAGCAGCAGCCTGGAAGACGCTGGAAGGGACAGGAGCTGTGGGGCTACAGAAGGGACATATACTCACTGCAGGATCTGGCACACAGCAGGAGAAGGGTACCCCACATTTCTCTCGGCTGTAGCTGGCACCGCTGCAGTTGAAGTAGACATTGAGGTCCCAGTCTTCAGGGCCGTAAGCCCCGCAGCACTGATTCTGAAATCATAAATATAGCCAAGAACCACATGGGGGGGGGGGTCATTGACTCAACACAAGGTGTCTCCCTCCCATTTACTAGACAGACAGCAAGACTCACACAGATACTGAATGACACCAACAAATGGCAATGCTTTAAGAAGGAAACTGCAGCCATGCTGACTCGCTTGTGGAACCAAATCTCACTAGTCTAGCTTAGCATGCTAAGTCCCAGTGACTCCTTGGCAGAGCCCATGCAAGATATACCCCTTCTCCATTAACAGCCCTTTGATATACCCCTCTCCTAACCCAGAGAACACTGCCTGAGTGAGTAACAGGCCTTTCTCCAGGATAAATGGCCACCCACGCTGGCCCTAGTTACCTTTTTGGCCTTTTTATATAAAACAGCTGCTGAACATTTACAACAGGGGTGAATTACAACTAAGGTGAACAGCAACAGCAATTCATTAACCCACTTGATCAGGAGCCCCACCCTCCACTCCCCATTACATAGTGCAGCTGACAAAAGCCCTTATCAGCCTACAAATGTGGAGTACCACTAAGAACATCACTGTGATGGAATCACCACACCCTTAGTAGATCTCTGCTGCCAAAACCAAGGCCAGCAGGAATCTCCGTTTCCCTCACACCCAGCTTTCCAGTGGAAATCCAATCTTCTCCAACCCTACTCCTCCTCCACTTTGCAGAATGCTTTAATGACCACCTAATATTTTATCACAAGCCCTAGAACTTAGATTTGAGAAGAAAGGAAGCTGGGCATAGTAGAGCACAAGCATTCCTCCACATCCAGTAACCAGGAGGCTGAGGCTTGCAAGCTTGAGGGCAGCCTGGGCTACATAACAAGATGCTGTCTCACCTGTCTCAAAACAGACTGGGCCAGATGGGCAGCGAGAAAGACTTCCCTTTGGAAAGAACAGGGGAAAGTGCGAGAAACTAGCACACCCAAGGCCATTTGAACACAAAAGAAAACTGAATAGAAAAGGCGTAGCAAGGTTACAATAGGATTCAGATTCTCCCAAGTCAATAACAACACCCAGGAGTCTCTCTGCTTATGTAAACAAATTTTTCTGGACCCCATGCTACATGCAACAGGGTAAACAAGTTGTGGTTAATAATAGTGGGTCAGTTATTTTTAGTGCTTGCTGGTTTATTTTCTCTTTGGAACCAAGTGTTCCATGCAAAAGACATTTCAGAAGGCGGGCTTCTGGCAGGAGCAGATCAAGCAGACCACTGTGCCAGGAGTGGGTTCACCCTAGGGGCTGGAGCAGCCAGTGAGTCAAGCTTCCAGGTCCAGCTGCACACAAGGGGAAGGGGCAGGAAGACTGAGGGACACAGATCAAGCCTGCTCATTCAGCTCCCTGGGGAAAGTTCCAGAGAGGTCACATCCCTCCATGGAGAGGCTTCCCCCCAGGCAGTTTGTCCTTCTCAAACAGGAAGGAGAAAAGGTCCCAGAGAGGAAAGATACAGGAATAGCTCTGCAGTGAGTCAGTCTTAGGGGAAGGAGCTCTATCCTCTGCATCCCCTCTATATCCACAGGGCCAAGATCCTGGGGAAGACTCTGACTACTAACATGGCTACCATGTAAGGCTAGGGAAGACTGGATCCAAAACTCTGAGAGGGAGCCTGAACTGCCATGCCAGAAGCTGAGCACACAGCGAGGCTGACCAGAGATAGGGAGGGAATGCTCCACACCTCCCTACCATGCTGTGGCAGAAAACCCACTCTGAGGCCGGAAGGTCTTGTTCCCATCTCAGCTGCAGGGCATCCCAGAGTCACCAGAGGTGGGAAAGGACAAGCTCTCGCAGGAGGCATGCCAGGGGCAGAGCTTACGGCTTTCTGAAGGGAGTCAATAAGGTTCTGCAGGTCAATGTCATCCCGATAGGACCTGATGTTGCTCTCGAAGAATTCCCGGAACCGATCCCTCACCCAGTCTTGGAATAAAAAGGCCAGCACAGCCACGGCCAGTTCCAGGAAGAAGATGAGCACAATGGCCCCACAGAACTGCGTGGGCACAAGAAAAAAGGTGGAGTCAGCATCACCAGCCTCATATGCAGAGGCACCACCTACTGCAGCACTTCACCTCCTCTGTCTACCCGTGGACAGCTGGCACAGCTGGTAACTGAGAGGAGCAAAAAGGAAGGACAAAGCTCCAAACCATCACTTCCTAGGAGGCAGCCATCCCCCTCCCCCTGCCTGATGAAAGGAAGTCCTGTAGAGCCCTACCCAGGCACTATCTGCCCCACCCTCCACTCAACCATCCTAGACATCTAGTCTGTCACTCCCACTTTATGGATGTTGACACCTAAGTTCCCTGCAGAGTTCATTACCGATCTGGAGGGACCAGTGTTATCAGTACCCACTCTGCTTGGGCAAGCAGGATTGACAGCTACATAGAGACCTCTCTAGAAACATGGCTGCTAGCTACAGGTCATGGTGACATTCTATTGGCAGCCATGAAGCTTTGATACATCTTGGAAACGTGAAGAAACCTTCCCAAGAAAACCAGAGAAGAATCCCAAGCATGCACAAGTGTGCACACAGCCTGCTCGTGTGGAAATGGGATGCAAAACACAGTATTATTAAGGGGGAGGAGATCTAGGGAGAGGTGTGTGCTTTGCTTTCCAAATGAAGAAAGGCTGACCTAATAAGCTCAACAAATAATAGATTATAAAGAGAATAAAAGTGTTTTCCTCACCAGGTGCTATTTAATTTTAACTGAATACATTTAAATATGAAGTTGTATCTAAATATAAAACTAAACTCTTAGTAATTCGTGATTCTGCCAGAAAATTAAGAACTACACTGCACATTCAACAGATTCACACCCAGGAGGAGGGGAAAAGATTTCTTAAAGCTATTGGCAACACTGTTTGATCTTAGCCAGGTAGGACAAAGGTAAACAGCAAATAAACAATTCCTTTAGAAATTCTAAGGAGGGCCATAAAGCAAAGGAGGTGAATAGAACCCCTGCAATTAGCTGGCAACTCTGCGGGAACCCCATTCTCCTAGGGTGAGGAACCGTCATCTGAGTTTTTCTTCTTAAAATCTTCCCTCTTAGCAAGACAGCAGGTTCAAAGAACTGTTCCCTCCTTGTGTTGCCTGGGCCAGAAAACAGATGTGAGCTGGTACCTCTAGCCCATCACATCCACTGCCTCCCACTCCAGCCCCACTCACAAACTTGAGCAGGCAGATGTTCTCCCGTAGGGCCCCAACACAGCCTGCGAATCCCAGTGTGAACATCACCACGCCCACCATCAAGACCAGCACCACAGGGTCGATTCCATGCAACCGAGTCACCTTTGTGAGGTCGGACAGCACACCCTGAAAGAAGCAGAGAATGAAAGGTAGCAGTGCTCTGAGAATGGAGTCAACACCCTGGGGGCAAGTTATGCCAGCAGCTGAAGCTAGGGGGCTGCTTCACACAGCTCGGTCCTGTCATCAAGAGCCAGGCCACAGTGTGTTCCTGCCCACTTCCTGGAACCCCTGAGTATGTCCTTGTCCACCGCAACCACTCTCCATGAAGACACTCTGCATGAAGTTCCTGGTCCACACTGATGCTTGGGGCTCCTGTGAGCCCAGACCCAGATTCCTCAGTAGCCTGTAAGGTGCCTTGGCCAGGCCGCAGAGGAGAGGAGTCCTAGGCCATGGTCAAACTGGCTAAAAGCAGCTTCACAATGAGTATTTTTGAGGAAACATACCCAGAAAGGGTAGGCAATGGGCAGAGTGTTGCTCATAAACGTGTCTATGACGGCAACATCCAGTTAGCACTATCCAAAGAGAATCGTTGGCTGTACCTGTAATAAAATCACTTGGAAGGAGGCTAGGGACAAGACTGGCTTGTCATTTTTATTTAAACACATATAGTCAGGGGCTAGTGAGATGGCTCAACATGTAACGGCACTTGCTGCCTTGTCTGGCAACCTGAGTTCAATCCCCAGGACCCACATGGTAGAAGGAGGACACCAAACCTACTCCTGCAGGTGGTTTTTTGTTTCTACTCAGAGATATACATATCCCCCAAACACACACACACCAAAAAACAAAACAAACAGTAAAATTTAAAATATACATAGTTATATGTGACTAGTGGCAACTACAATGGACAGACAGATTCTGTGATAATCAAAGAGAAAAGAAAAGAGCTATTGGGCTAGGCAGCTGTGTAACCAGCTCCAGGATCAGGGCTCGTCCAGGTCAAGTCTGCTGCAGTCCCATATACAGCCACACGGTGGCGCTGTTATGCATAGTTGTTTCCAGGTCACTGGGACAGACATTGTACAGACAGCTTTTGCCATCAGGGATACACAGGCCGACAAGAAAGGTGCACAGGCTCAAGAGCAGACCTCACTCTGTTCCTAAGACCATCACATATAAGCTCATAGACCAAAGTGTGCTGCTTCCACTGGAAGCAGTGGCAGGTTCTACCACAGGAACTGGAGGTGATTCAGCTTCCAGGTTCTCCTTGCTCCTCCTTTCCTGTAAGAATTCCATCTGCCATGGGGTAAGGTCAGCACCATGACTCCACCTTGCCTCTGGAGCGCTGACTCCCTAGAATACCAACTGCCCCTTTATCTACCTGCACAGTAAGAGTCTGGGATCCCCTTCCTCACACACTGGCAAGCAGCACATGGGGCACAAAACCAGGCTCTATTCCCTTTTTCTGGAGGCCAGCACAAGCACTTTGGAAGTAAACAAGACTCTGCTCAGGGAGCTGCTCACTTCCTCCCGGAGGTGTGGGATGGGTTTAGGAGACAGCCCCAGGCTTGCCTTGGGGTTACTCCGGGCTTCTGGGAACAGGCTGGGTGCACATCCTTACTCACAGAGCTCATAACCTCCAACCCAACTTTTCTAGTCCTGCCCTAACGACCTCCAGCAACACACATAGCCTCAGAGACACACCCTTTCTGAGGGTTAATGTTACAAACTTTTCTCACATCTCATCCCCATGGCCCAGCAGTTAGTGGCTACTGGACAGGCTAGAGGAGGGGACAATTCACATCCAATGGCTCTGGGTCTGGCTGCCTGATAACAGGGCCTGGTCGAGGTTCCACCTACCTTTTCGCTCCATGCCCACAGCCCGACTCCAAGGAAGACAACTCCAGCCAACTGAATTGAGGAAAGGGGAGGAGAGAAGAGAAAAATAAGGTCAGAAACCAGCACTAGGACAAAGTTTACATGCTAGTTGGGTGCTCCTAAGGGGGCATTTGAATCTTGCAAATGACAGAAGCTCTCTACACCAAGGGACATGGAGATTGCAGATAACCAGCAGCTACCTCCCTAGAATGGATGACAGCTGATTTCTACTCCAGATGCTCAAATGCCCAGAAAGCCAAAGTAAACATCCCTAGGTCTCGAGAGACTGACACAGGAGACTGCCTTACGCTGACAGAGAGACTGTTTCCTTCCTTCCTACCCAATTTTCACCCTCAACCCACTTCAGTGTGCTCTTCAGTGTCAAGACACTGCACCCCTGATGACTGCCAGAGTGTATCAGCAGTCTCTGGCCCAGCTGAGCTATATGGTCAGCCCACCTGCAAGGCAAGGCTATGGGGAAAGACAAAACCACCTATTTTCCCATCTCATCTCCATGGCCCAGGACTCAGACTCCAAACAGGTAAGTAGCCACTCGGGTCATTCATTAGCCAGAGTGGGGCCTCCTCATCCCACCTACACATAATATGAGACACACATGCGCTCAGGAAACACTGGGGTCTTAGCTGGTGAATTCAGGTAAACTGCAGTAAGCAGAAGAGAGGCACTATATCACCCCCATCTCCCACCTACAGGCGCACACTACAGCCAAGAGAATGGGACCCATCCAAAGGACCACACAGTCCTAAGTTGTTTCCCATATAAACCCCAGGCTCTACAAACAGAGCAGTCTCCGTGCTTTTGTTGATGTTTGTTTGAGCATCCAGGGCCTTGTGAACCAGTCCCCTGAGCCACCCCACGGCATACTGGTTTCTCAATAGGAAAGGTCTTTGTTCTCCTAGATGCCATACATGACTACTTCCTCCCCTTCCCATCAGTTTCACAATGGATGGCAAGAAAAACCAACAGGCCACCCTACTACTCCCTAAGGGCCCAGCTGGAGGCCGCCTTCTCATCTGACTTCCTCAGAAATGAGGTCACTCTTGGTCATTCCTCTTCCTTCAATCAGGTTCAGAGACACCAAGCACTCAAAGCTCGGCCAGGGCTGTCTTCCTCCCTTGTCTGCTGCTTATCCTTCCCTTTACAGACTCCACTAAATGATGGTAAATCTAACAGTGCAAAGACCCTTTGAGCAGTCAGGAGAACCAGGAATCATACACCTTTAAATACTATCCGTAACGATGATTAGCGGCCTTGCAGCTCTCCCGTCTCATGTCAACCATCTCCTTGTAGTCTCCAGGGACCCAGCCTACTCCTCTCCAGCTTCTTTTCCCTCATGAAACATCACCACCATCTGTCCACTAGCCATTTAGGAGAAAACCCCCAAGAGGGAAAGATACTTCACATTCACCAACTGAGACTCGGCTTGTTTTACCTTTGAAACACAGAAGTGTGCATGACCAGTTTTCTTTCTGATTCTCTTTCCACCTCTTTCCAGGCCTCCAACAAACTGGAAGCATTGTTTAAAAATCTTCTATCAAATGATATCCAAAGGACTGGCCTTAAAGCCCCCCAGGGCATAGCAAATTTCTCAGGTTCTCAAAGCCCCGTGAGCAATGTACATACACCCTCCCTCCCTCTGCTCTGACCACTCATAACACCAAATATAATGTAAACACTGTATAAAGAGCTGTTCTTTGTATTGTTTAGGGACAATGAGGAAAAGGTCTTCTGTTCAGTACACACAGCTTTCATAGTGACTTCTGTCCTGGTTGAGTGAACTCACATACAGAGCTACTGGTTACTGAACATGACTATGGGCAGGACACTCTGCTCCTACAAACTCTCTAGTGACTTCCCCTTACACGTAGGATTAAGATTCTACCACAGTGCACCATTCCCTGGCCTACAAGGTTCTTCTCCTGTATCAGTCCCTGGCCTCCTCCTCCTTCATATCTAGATCTCCCCAAGATGTCCACCTTTGCCTTCCTGTGTGAAGCTGACCTGTCCCTCACTCAGAACTACCTTTGGCATGGCTCTCCTTTGCAGCCCTGACTCTTAGCCAAATGCACTATACCCACCTTACAGCCATGTTCTCTAAAGACAAAGGTGCCTGTCTGCTTGGGGCTGTAACCCACTCATATAGAGAAAGATGGTACAGAGTGGGCCCATGAGAATCCCATAAAGGAAGCCTAGGGTTCTTCCCACTCTCCTTCCATGCATACTTCTGGGTCTCAACACTCCTGAGGGCCAAGTAAGAGCCTACCACATCCAAACCACATATACAGAATTGGGGCAATAAGGCTGTAAGTATCTAACACCACTCCATCCAATGTTCCCATTCAAAACCAAGCCTGCCTAACCACTTACAACAGTCTACCCACTTCTGGTCCTATGTGCACAGGTGAAAGAAGGCTATCTTGAAACATCTGAACAGTGGCACTAGAACTTCCCTTTCCTCCCCACTGGGCCTCACAGATTCCTATTCATTTTATCACCACATTAAATCAGCTTTAATGCCACATACACTTAAGTGTTCCTGAACTCATACTGAAGTGTTTTGTTTGTTCATTTGTGACATGTTCTCTCTATGTGGCCCTGGCTGTCCTGAACCCTGCTATGTAGACCAGGATGGCCTTGAACTGACAGAGATCCTCCTGTCTCAGCCTCTTGAGTGCTGGGATTAAAGGTGTTCACTACCACATCTGGCCTTCAGGTGCTAATTTAATTCTTCCCTGGGGTAACCAAAGAGAAAGATGTTTGCTCTGCCAAAACATATATACCAAGCTGTGCAAATGCAGGCAGGCTTCCATTCATGTCAGACACACACACACTCACACACACTCACACTCTCTCTCTCTCTCTCTCTCTCTCTCTCTCTCTCTCTTTCTCTCTCCCTCCCTCCCTCCTTCCCTCCCTCTCTCTCTCTCCCTCCCTGCCTCTTTCTCTCCCTCCCTCAAGATCTGTAGTAGATTCCTTACAACAATGTTTTCTCTTACACTGACTGAGAATAAGGACACCATCTTCTTTCAGTGTCTTAAAGGAAGAAGTAATGTGAACTCATACCAGGAAGATAGGAACTTAACAGGCACAAGCCAGATCATGATTCAGTGAGTATTGCCCAAGGCAGGAAGTCTGGAGACCAATTATGGTCAAGATCCTGAGAAAGGACCAGACAAGGGAAGTAACCTGTGTCTGGACCCATGTAACAGCTCCAGGAGTGAGTAGCGAACCTGTCTCTTCCTCCCCAGAGTGTCCACACAGACGTAGAACAAATAAATGTAGAAACATTTGTCCAAGGTCACACAGCTAGCTGTTGACAAACTTAAGAGCCCCATCTGAGTAGCTCTACCCATGACAACACATTATCTCACTACCCACAGGGTGCTGGGACAGACGAGCAAGCAGCATTCTGAGTGACATACCCTAGAGAGCATTTACAGAAGACCCAGTTAAGAAGGGTTCCACAGGAGTTTCTAGTCTGCACCATTCTCAAGCAACTAGCTTACACAGCCAGGTGCATTCTAAGAGTCTACATCCCAACCAGAGCAGAAGGAACTCAGGAGCAAACACAAGAGAAAGAGGTCCCACTGGGATAATGGGTTTAAAAAAGCTTCCAGTAAAATTTAAAGAGTTCCAAGACCTAGGTTAAGTGGAAATCTCTGGGCTATCTTCCCTAGAGTTAATGGATCTAGAAGGCCCCAGACACACACAACAACAACAACAACAACAACAACAATCCCCTCTGTGTTAGCGTCTGTAGAGAATAAATAGGATGAATTAGTGAATACATATATGTATAAAGGGAATGTATCAGGATGCCCTGTAGGCTGTGGTCCAGCTAGTCAACCAATAGCTATCACCCACAAGAAGGTCCATTAATCTAGTAGTTGTTTCAGCTGCTTTCAGTATATGTTGGAATCCCAAAGAAGCAGGCTCTGATGCCAGTCAGTGAAGCAATGGGCTGGCCAGAGAGAGCAGGCAAGCAAGCAAAAAGCAAAAGCTTCTTTCTTCCAGGTCCCTATGCAGCCTGCCAGCAGAAGGTGTGGCCCTGATTAAAGGGGTATCTTCCCACCTCAAAAGATTCACATTAAAAGTGGTTCTTCCCACTTGAAATGATTTAATTAAGAAAAAAAAAATCCCTTACAGGTGTACCCAATGGCTTGGGTTTTAGTTAATTCCAGACGTAGTCAAGTTGACAGTCAAGAACAGGACACCTTCCAAAAACAAAAAGCGAGAGGCCCTAGTGCTGCTTCCTAAGCTGACACAGGTTTGCCTTATCCTGGAAGGCACAAGAATTCTCCTGCACCTTACCTAAAGAGGCTCAAATCTCAATAAAAGTGTTTAAGCCCTGCTGAAGAATGGGAAGAAAGCTCTGAGGTCAAGCAGGCCAAGAGCAGCCACCCAGGACCCAATGGTCTTGCCCCCTTGCATTAAGTCTAAGTGTGTAGGCATCTCTTGCAGGATCCAGACATCTTGTCTTTCCATCAGTAGCTGGGCAACATTTTGACACTTTGCACTGCTGACCCCTGGTTATCAGTCAATCAGTTCTTCACTAACTCAGGCTGATGATCAGGGCCTCCTTATAGATATCTCAGAGATAAGCAGAAGAGAACGCACTGTAACACCATGCAGCCCAGAACAGTACTAAATACATGGCACAGGTCAGCATTCTAGGGCCCAGGGTTCATTCTGCAACATTCTTATCAAGTGGACCCCCTGCAAGTGCCAGGCCTTCCTTGATCCTACGCTTTCCTCCATACAACAGAGACGGCCCTTCTGACAGATTTGAAAGGGCTAATAAAAGGCTCTAATGGGACTTGCTTACATAAAGAGAGCCCTGCTCCTGGGTACAGGCAGAGCTGAGGTCTGAAGGGCCACTGTGCTGACTCCTCAAATACTCGCATCTGTTGCATTGAAGATTTTGTATGTCCCCAGTAACTGTTAATCTCAATCTCCAACTTGCATGATTTAGAATCAACTAGAAGACACATGTATTTCCAAAGAGGTTTAAC